TTAGAACTAAAATGTAATGAAAATATTGTATATCAAAGCTGCTGGAATGCAGTGAAAACAGGGCTGTGGGGAAAATTGATGAACTTCATTGTTATATCATAAAGTAAGAGGGCCTTTAAAACTTAACTCTGAAGTGTTGTGCTTGGGAATAACCCCAAGAAAGTAGAGGAAGGAAACTATAAAGACAAGAATAGAAATGGATGAGATGGGGACTGGGGTTGTGGCTCTGAGAGAGTGCTGGCCTCGTATGCATGAGGCCTTATGTTCAAGTCACAATCCTGTCAGAAAGAAACGCAAGGGGAAGGATTAGCAAAACCAAATATAGCCATCTCTTAAGACGTTAAATTGATCCCTCTTTGAGGTTAAAAAAAAAAAAATAAGAAGGGATAAGCAATAGGAAGGGAAAGAAAGCATGAACATGTGGCAGACCCTGAAGCAGGGCCAGCAAGCTTAGTGGCAGCCTGTCCCTATGGGGGTGACATATGACAGACATGTTCCAGGAAGGTTGTAATTGCCAACAGTGACTCAAGAAGGTAGACAACTGAGATACCTACTACTGAGAGTCAGCACTAGACATTAGGTCCAGAGTGTTTGCAATCACTGTGCCTCCTAGGAAACAGTCCTCTCCAATCAGAAGTGAACAAGACAGCCGTCAGCAGCACTGTGTCCTGGAGTTTGAGACCTTGACTAATGTTAGGAGATAGAAGGACCGAAAGGAAGGAAGGAAAGAAAACTAACTTTTGTAGGTAATACAATACTTTTGTAGGTAATAATACTTGTAGGTAAGATCCTTTCAGCCCTGGAAGCCAGTTCAGTGAGCTTGTGGGATGTTCACCGAAGTTGCTGGGCCTGAGTAAGTCACGGAAGGGCGGCCTCAGCTCTGCGTATTAGCGGAAGAGAAAAGCAGCGAAGTTTATGACAGACTAGAAAAATCAAGTTCTCGGGAGAAAAACTAAGAAACGGTCCAAGATCTTTCAGAGAGGATTATGAAATGTGCTTGGGAGGTATCAGAGAAGAGTTTGAAAATGCTTACAGATCACAGAAACATTGCTTCCCCCTGAGGTGACTTACAGACTCAGAGACACTCTGCTCAGGCTCGAGGGCTGTCCCCAGGTTCAGGAAGGGTGTCGAGCTAGAGGGATTCACACAGTGAGCTGTGCCAACGGCTCAAACACCTAAGGGTCCTTAAGGTCACCCTTAGGGTTTAGCATGCAGTCACTTTCATGATGAGACTTGGTGACAAGGCATTGCACACCAAAGTGCGGTAAAATAAAACCATGCCAGCAAGCCTGGTGTCCTAGTTAGGGTTTCTGTTGCTGTGAAGAGACACCATGACCACGGCAACTCTTATAAAGAAAACATTTTACTGGGGTGGTTTGCTTACAGTTTCAGAGGTTCAGTCCATTATCATCGTGACGGGGAGCATGGCGGCATGCAGATGTGGTGCTGGAGCTGAGAGTGCTACATCTTGCAGGCAACAGGAAGTCAACTGACAGACACACTGAAGGAGCCTGGAGCAAAAGAGACCTCAAAGCCCACCCCCACAATGGCACACTTCCTCCAACAAGGCCTCACCTCCTAACAGTGCCACTCCATTGGGGGGGGGGCATTTTCTTTTAAGCCACTACACCCAGCAAGCACAGAGTTTAATGTCACCAACTGTGAATTTCCTTTCTGTTCCACACTAGCCAGGAATGGCTGCAGGAGATAAAGGACTTTCTCTCTTCCTTCCCCACTCATGCCCCTTCACTTGCTGAGGACCAAACCTGGGACTTTTTGCATGAGAGACAAGCACTCTATCACTGAGCACATAAGAGAAATTACTTTGAGGGCTGGGACTGTAGCTCAGTGGTAAGAGTATTTGCAAACAGACATGAGACCCTGGGTTTGATTCTTAGCACTGTAAAAAAAAAAGTCTTTTGGTTTATTGAGACAAGTCTCTTATAACTCAGGCTAGCCTTGAATTTGATATTTACCCAAGGCTGACTCTGAGTTCCTGATCTTCTTGTCCGTAACTCCACAGGACTAAAGATTACATGTGCTATAATACCCAGCTGGAAAAATTACCTTGAGACAGGGTCTCAGGTCCCAGGCTGGCCTCAGATCCAAACTCATTTGTCATCATGCTTGGTTGAGATGAGGTAACTTGCAGGCCAATGCCTTCATGTGGAGCTAGAGCCAGGATGACATGGCCAGAGCTCCCTGCACATTCAAGATTGTCAACCAAGCTTGTCGCTCCCATGAGAGGGCCTCTGAAATAGCATATACTCAAACATCTAGGTTGCTTCTTTGATATCCACTGGGCTTTTTGTTTGTTTTTATACTTGTTTTTTTTTGTTTTGTTTTGTTTTTTTTTGAGATAGGGTCTCACTGTGTAGCTCTCTCTGGCTTGGAATTTGCTCTGTAGACCAGGCTGGCCTCAAACTCATAGAGATCCACCTGCTTCTGCCTCTGAAGTGCTGGGTTTAAAGGCAGGCGCCACCATGTCCTGGGCCCACTGGAGATATTGAACCACAAAGTTTGAACGATGTTCACACACTGCACCATGGCCTCCTAGCACCCTCTTTGCCTCTGGAAAAGGCTCTTAGTGCTTTGACGCCTGATTATGGCAGAGAACTGTGTATGAAGTCTATTTTCCCAGAGATCTGTATGCTGGAAGCTTGGTCTCTAATGTGGCAATGCTAATGTGCTGGGACCTAAGAGGAGAGAGAGCCTGTCAGATGCAGTTAGATCACTGGGAGAACCATCCATGGAAGGGACTGGTGTAGTTCTCATGGGACCCATTAGCTCCCGCAAGAGCAGGTTCCTAGGAGAAGAGTGAGCTGCCCTAAGTTTTTGCCTTATCTTGCCGTGTGGTGATCATCTCTTCTTGTTCTCACTGACGCTGTCTGCCAGGCTTGGTGTAGCTAGAGGCCTTCACCAGATCCAACATTAGGCCTTTGACTGTCCAGAGCTGTGACAGGTGCATGGAGTGGTATAGGGAAGGGGTTGGGGGAAGGAACATGGGTGCCTACAGAGGCAGAGGTCAACTGGCGAGAAGAAAGAACCCTCTCTGCCAACCTCTAGGAGCCAGCCCTGTGACACAGTGGCTGCTGATGGGAAGTTGACCTTGGACACTAGTCTACAGAGCTGAGAGCTAAGCTACGGTTGTGCATCAGCACTGAATGGGGGTTGTCATAGCAGCCCCGACACAAACGGGTTGGTACTGGGATGTCTGCTATGGTCATTGTTTATAGGCTGTCACTGAGAACTCCCTCTGTGTCTTCTGGATTTCAGGTGGAAAGCCTCTCCCCGGCCACTGGATCCTCAGCTAGTCACTCAGTTCAAGCCCCTTCCTGGCACAGCTGGCAGCTGTGGATGAGCAGGAGGCAGGCGTGGTGCTGGGTGCAGGTATACATGAGAATGACCCTGAGAGGCAGGTTGATCTCTGCGAGTTCGAGGCTACCCTGGTCAACAGAGTAAGTTCCAGGACAGCCAGGGCTACACAGAGAAACCCTGTCTCGAAAAAACAAAACAAAACAAAACCAAAGACAAAAAAAAGAAGAAAGAGAATGACCCTGGACTGCTCTCAACACTCTTGCCCCAGCTGCCCTGCGGTGGTCCTTTTTGTCATCCAGCAGCATAACTACATCTGCACCAAGTCAGCCTAGGTTCTGTGCAAGGCCCTGGAGCATGCTCTCACACACACACTTTGTGGAAGGCCCTGGAGCATGCTCTCACACACACACACACACTTTGTGCAAGGCCCTGGAGCATGCTCTCACACACACACTTTGTGGAAGGCCCTGGAGCATGCTGTCACACACACACTTTGTGCAAGGCCCTGAAAGGGATCTTAGGTATAGTAACATCGCTGGTGGCTGCAGGCACCTGCCATGAGTCCCAGCTACATAGAGAAAGGCCAGTTCTGGTTTACATTAAGAGTGTCACTAGCTTTATGAACTGCAGAATTCAGGATTGCAGTCAAACCAAATGATGCTACACAGAGGACCCTGGGTAAGTGCACAGAGTGGGGAGTATTGACTATCCTGGAGTGGAGTGAGAAGCTCATGTAAATGGCCAGGTGTTGCCTTGAACCATGGTGGCCTTGTGTCAGGAGGGACCCATCATGGTCTAGGGCAGCCACTGTGGCCTCATCTCTGTATGTCCCAGGCTTAGAGACAATGATGCCTTTCTCCAAGGTTGCGGTCACCTGCAGGATAGGCTCCTGTGATGCTGGTCTCTCCCCGTGTCTAGACTTCTGCCTCCTGCCTAGGTTCCCCTGGTTGGTGAAAGTGGGCAGGTTCTCTGAACAGGGCTTGGTGTATCTCTAAGTGGAGGCATCGGCAGCTGAGTGAGCAGAGACAGGGTTAGTTGCAGTGTATAGAGGGTGTCTTCGTTAGGGTTACCATTGCTGTGATGAAATACCACTACCGAAGCAAGCTGTGGAGGAAAGGCTTTATTTGGCTTACACTTCCATATAACTGTTCATCATCAAAGGAAGTCAGGACAGGAACTCAAACAGGGCACAGGAACCTGGAGGCAGGAACTGATGCAGAGGCCATGGAGGGGTGCTGCTTACTGGCTTGTTCCCCATGGCTTGCTCAGCCTGCTTTCTTTTTTCTTTTTTCCTTTTTAATTATTATTAAGAAATGTTCTATTCACTTTACATACCAATCACAGATCCTCCCTCTTCCCTCTTCCCACCCCCCAGCCTCCCCCCCAACTCATCCCTCCATCCCCACATTTTTTAAGTCAAAGTCTCCCATGGGGAGTCAGCAGAGTCTGGCACACAGATCCTCCCTCTTCCCTCTTCCCACCCCCAGCCTCCCCCCCAACTCATCCCCCCATCCCCACATTTTTTAAGTCAAAGTCTCCCATGGGGAGTCAGCAGAGTCTGGCACACTCAGCTGAGGCAGGTCCAAGCCCCCCCCCCCCCCCGCACTGAGGCTGTACAATTAGCCTGCTTTCTCTCTCTCTCTCTCTCTCTCTCTCTCTCTCTCTCTCTCTCTCTCTCTCTCTTTTTGGGTGGGGAGCGGTTTCTTGACAAGGTTTCTCTGTATAACAGCCCTAGCTGTCCTGGAACTCACTTGTAGACCAGGCTGGCCTCGAACTCACAGAGATCTGCCTGTCTCTGCCTCCCAGAGTGCTGGGATTAAGGGCGTGTGCCGCCACCACCACCTGGCTCAGTCTGCTTTCTTATAGAACCCAGGACCACCAACCCAGGGATGGCCCCACCCACAATGGGCTGGGCCCTCCTTCACCAATCACTAATTGAGAAAATGCCTTACAGATTTGCCTACAGCCAATCTTACGGAGGCATTTTCTCAGCTGGGGCTCCCTCCTCTCAGATGACTCTAGCCTGTGTCAAGCTGACATAAAATTAGGCAGAGCAGAGGGTGAGGAGGTGGAGGGGGAAAGGGAGGCCATAGCCAACCCTGCTCCACCTCTCTGTGCACCCGTATAGACAAGCTGCTCCTCATGAAGTGGTCACGAATCCCAGTTGGAGAGCTGTTGTACCTTGTCCAAGGGTTTGCCCAGTACTTGATGGACTAGGAGGCTCAGGCCTCCTGGCTCCCCAGCCCCATCCACAGAGCAGGCCATCATGTTCCCCCCATCACCCTGGATCTGTCAAAGCAACTCTGTTGGGGTGAGGTGCTGGCCCTGGGGTTGATGGCCTGCCACACTATCCTGTGTCATGCTACTCCTGTGCCAGTAAGGACCCTGTCCCCTCCACCAACAGTCAATGCAGAAGGTAGTATGGAGGTCACTGAGGATGGCTGTGTGTTAGCCACAGGGCTGCAGCTACCTGCCACCTAGGCCCTTCAGAGAAAATACTTGGCCTACTAGAGTGTCTGCTCAGAGCACACTGTCAAGATGGGGCCTTACGTCCGGAGGAGTTGGGGTGCTATGCCAGGCAGCAGCAACACCTCCCTTAAATTCTGTGGATTCTGCTGTGCTGAGTAACCTCTGGGGCCCTGGTGACCCATGGCCAACTTGATGGCAATCCAGTAGAGGAAGAAAGGCCAAACAGACCATCTCCCAGAGCCCACAGGCTAGCTTGGTGGAAGTCTCCACTTGAGCAGTGCTGGTTGGGAGGCTTGGCAGGAAGGAGAGGGCCTCGGGGTCAGGAAAACCTGGATGCTTTCCTGCCTATGCACCAGCAGAGGTTCCACACTGGCCCAATCTGCCTCTCCACCCCAGACACAGCAGTGGAGACACTGCCCAGTCTCCTCAGATCTCCCACCATCCCGTAGCCTGTGGGGTGGGGACTGTCTGTGTGGGAAACCCAAGCAGAGATGGGTTTTGTGCTTCTGACCCTAGAGTCTGCCCAGTGCTTCCTAAGGGCACATGCAGGGGAAGGAGCTGGAGCAGAGGTGTGGCAACCCTTTTTTTGTGGACTGGGCAGGGGCCTGGGGGACTGTGCTCACCTAGTTTGGTGACAGGGTAGTCTGAGAGAAGTTGGCATACGATCCTGGAGAAGGCCTGTGCCTCGCTCTCCTGGTGGCTACAAGAATGAAGGAACTTGCTGGCGGTGGTGGCCCATGCCCTTGATCCCAGCACTAGGGAGCCAGAGGCAGGCGGATCTCTGAGTTTCAGGATAGCTAGGGCTACACATAAAAGTCCTGTCTCAAAAAACCAACCAACCAACCAACCAACAAACAAATAAACACACACACACACACACACGAGTGAAAACACATCCGACAGAACCCATGGCTTTCCTCAGAAAGGATTCATGAGGCTGGCCCAGCACAGCGAATGAAGGTCTCCACTCCACATCCACACCGATCGATCGTCCTGCAGGTCTATATGGACAGAGAAAGACAGACATGGTGGCCGGGGGTAGATTTGATCAGCAGAGACTATGAGCCAAGAGGGTCAGAACAGCCCCAGGGGACAAGGCTCTGGAAGATGCTGCCAGAATGGAGGAGGTGGCCTGCCTGTCCACAGAGGCATCGCAGGCCCCAGCAGTAGAGCAAGGAGACCTTGGGCACTGTGATGACTAACACTGTCAACTTCTCAGGATCTAGTAGGAGACAAGGCCCTGGGCATATATGTCTACGGGAGTTTCTAGACTAGGTTAGCTGCTATGGGAAGGACTCATCCTAAGTGTGTGTGGCAGCATTCCTTTGACTGAGGTCATGCACCGAGCACAAAAGAGAAAACGAGGCTGGTGACCAGCATGCATCTCTGCTTCCTGACTGCAGATGCGATGACCATTTGGCCCGCACTCTGGCTGTCCTGGCTTCCCTGACATGATGGGCTGCACCCTCAAACTGAGCTAAAACGAATCTTTGTCTCCTTCGGTTGTTCTTCTCAGATATTTGGTCAAAGCAGTAAGAGGCTAATACGGGCACCTTCTGTAGGCTGGCATGATGATTTGTAAGTACCAGTACTCAAGAAGTCTTGGTGCCTTCTCGGCCTCCGTGGGTCCTTTATTCTTGCCATGGGGAACAGGTTACCCTCACAGGGGACCTGGAGGTAGAGGTCAGAGAGTGAGGCATGTGGTGCACAGTATAGAGGTCTGGCCTGGTCTACAAATATCACCCCTAAGGCCTCTACAAAGCAGCTAGTTGGTAGCGTGCCCACAGTCCCAGCCAAGGTACCCACCTGCAATAATGCAGCCTCACAGCTGGCCAGAACATCCCAGAGACCAGGAAGTGGATGCTGTCCCTGGCGATGGGCAGCTGGTAGCAGCGCCCCCTCACACTCTCCTGAAGCTCCTTCAGTCTGGAATCAGCCTTGGTTACCCTGCGAGGAGCGGGACTGGTGGCATTCTTGTCCTGGGCGCAGACCTATACGTACTGGGACAGTGGAATGCTTGTGGCGTATTCATAGAGGGGCTCTCGGGGGTGCATTTCCGCGGGCTCTTTAGGACTGGTGTGGGCGTGGGGCACGGTCTGCCGCCTATGGCTGTGAGACATCTTCTTCTCCAGCCCTGGGGTGTGTTCAGCCTGGCTGTGGATCTGAACCATAGGGCTCAGAGAGGTGGCACGTTGTGTCATTTGTCGTCACCGCCCCAAGGAATGGGGCTGTCCCAAGGAGAACCTCGCCCTGAGGCAAGGTGTTCACCTCCCTTGGAGCCTGAGTTTCTCAGCTACCATGGCTGGCAGTTGTTCCTCAGGCAGTGAGAAGCACAATGCACATTGGATAGTGGTGATGGGGTCACTGGGAGAGGCCACCAGTTGGAGCAGCTGCTACTGCAGCCGGGGGTCTGTGTTCCCAGATCCTGTGGGGACTGATTATCAATGAGGACTTCCTTATACCCCAGGGGGCTTGGCTGAGCTCAGCAGATCTGGCTGAGCCTTGCAGGTCCACAGCGATCTCTCCAGTTCAAAGCCCTGAGAGACCAGGTTGCTATAGGCACTGCAGCCACCTCTACCCAGTCCCTTCCACATCTCCAAACCCCCAACTCTACATGGCTGTGTGGCTAGGGATGTTCATCAGTCCTTCTATCTGAGGTCGGAACCCTTTCCTAGAACATGGGCTTCCCTGCTTTTCTTTCCTCTGGCCCTCGTCCTGTAGACAATATGCTGAGCCTTCCCCTCTTCATTTCTGTGACCAGGTGGACTCTTGGGGACGGAGGGGACAAGAACGCTCAGGCAGCTTGTGGTCGAGACAGATAGCAGGGATCAGCACCAGGGCAGCAGTGACCTGGTCCCCACGGAGCTGTGTTCTCCCTGTTTGGCTACCCCAATTCCAGCACCTTGTGCCCAGTGCAAAAGCAGAGATGGCTATGAGGCTTGCAGAGTCCCTCAGTATCTGGGAAAGTCAGGACAAGGCCACAGTCGGGCATCACGGGTTTCATCAGGGCACATAGCACTGGACAAATCTTCAAGTCCATGAAGCCACAGGATGAGTTGTGTGGGGATCCCCAAGAGCTATAGTTCCTTGCCCTCATGACCTCTGGCCTCTGTGGCCTCAGTGTCCCTCAAGGAGATCATGCTGGCCCCTATAGGGCTGCCTGCCCAGATGGCTTCAGTGCCCCGGCATCCTGAGGTGTCTGTTTCCCCCTGGCCATGGGTTCCCACGTGGACGACAATTTGTGGAAACTCCTCCACATTCTTCAGGATGTCCGCTGCCCTTCCGGCCCGCTTGGCCTTGGCACCCAGGGGGGACTAGCCTTCCGGGCCTCACCCAAGGGCTGTGCATTCCACTCTGGTGACTCACTGTGTCCCTCCTTCCCAGTGGCTTAGTGCCGCCCTGTCTGGATGCCACCTTCTGCCAGGCTGGGGTGGAGGGCAAGCTTCACTGGCCAGTCATACTCCTGTGCATGCCCCATCAGGATCTCAAGAACTCCTCCATCCTCTCAGGATGTTGCATCTGGGGACCAAGGACAGCTTTGCACCCACGAGACATCTCTGGATCTGGTCCCAGGATCGCAGGCACACCTAAGAATGGATTGAGTTACAGCGTGGACAGGGTGCTCTTTGAGCACACACGCACTCACACCTGGTCTGCCCCTCCTTTGTACCCTCTGTGGTTTCACCCCATCCCTGCAGCTATGGGGGCGCCACTGGCCCATGAGCATCAGGGAAACTCTGACCCAACATATGCACCTCACCTGATGCCTATGGAAGCCACATAGCATGCACGTGCATACTAATAAACAGGATACCACCTCCTCCAGGATTGCTCTTGGCCCCACAGGAACTGCTTAGAACCTCTCATGGGTGCAGTATGTACATGACATCCTGTGCCAGCTCACCTGCCTGTGGTCAGCCCAGATCTCTTGAGACACACTTTTCTGCAGAAGCAAAAAGAAAATTGTTACCAGTGATAGCCTTAGAAGCTGTCGGAGGGGCCAGAGCTGAGTTGGCCTCATTTGTCCTCATTTCCCTGAGGGGCCTGCATTTTGGTCTTCTGCATAGACCCATGTCTTGGCACAGTGATCCACGTGCTCATCAGGCCCACAAAGTTGGCCAGCTAAAATGGTGACCTTAGAGGTCATGCTTCCTGCTGCGATCCAGCGAGGTCAGAGAGAAAGCGGAGGTCAAGCTCAGCCTAGCAGATGGGCAGGAGTGCCCAGGTCAAGCCTGTACCCAGGGCTGCTGTGAATGGGTGGCTATGGGTTAGGTAAGGTGCGGTCTCTTCTCAGGCAGGCAGCCCAGGCACCTGGTGTGGCTGTGGATAGATATTGGCCTTCGGTGGTACTCGGTGCCTATCTGAGGCTGTAAGCGGTGGCAGGACTCAGCTGGTGGAGGTCACCACTTAGTAACTACAGATTAGTCCAGTCACCTGCACATGCGCCGCCACAAACCGCTTGTATCTCAGCACCCCTAGGGGCTGCTGGGCAATGACGTGGACACGGTGTAGAAAGGGAGGCGGGGCTCAATGATGGCTGGAGACTTACACCCAGGGCAGGGCCTTATGCTCCTGGGGGTGAGGGCAGCAGAGCTATGCATTTTCCAACTTTTCCTCTGGGCTGTTCCCAAGGTCTCTGCTCTGTCCTGGGTCAATCCCACTAATCCCAGGCACAGAGTCCTCTACCCTGCCCTCACTGAAGCCCACCAAAGCTTCTCCTCCAGTTAGGCCATGTGTTATGGGTACAGCAGAGGCCCTTCCTCTGGCCCTTAAGCAGGTGACCCGGGAGCAGCAGCCCCTCTAAGGGCTTTCATGCCTCTTCAGGGCAGGGCCTTCCTGACATTGTGGCGAGACTTCTGCTTCCTGCCTTCTCCCGCTAGAACTGGGATTCCTCAGGGCCGTGAGTGAGCGCTTTCTGCTGTGCCTGGGTCAGGCCTCAGAGCAAACGCCAGGGCCTGATGTTCACATATTGACACTTGCTTCTTTCAGTCTCGCCTCTGTCTTCAGGGAGAGCACCTCACGCAACATGGAGCCATCGCTCACCCCCCTTCCCCCTTGGGTGCTATGGCCAGCTGTATCGTCAGCGTGGTTGATCTTCATAGAACCCAGATGCCCTCCTCAAGATTCTGCCCTTGCTTCTAGCCTTGAGCAAGTATAGTTTGACCCCACCCCAGACTGCAGGTATCATCTGAGGGTGTGATGGGCATCGCTGCTACCCAGAGAGGGGCCAGAGGCAAGGCTGTCAGGAGGGGGGCTTGGGATGTGTGTGGTTACCAGGATGGCAGTTCCCAGCAAGGATTTACCTAGATTTCCTCAGAGAGGCCTCAGGAGTTACTGCCTGCTCCTACCCCAAACTCCACAACTGTGCCAGCTTCCCAGACTGTTACCGGTGGCTGGGGACACAAAGGCTTTTGTCCCTTTAGGCCAGGTACAAACCCCTAGTTGGTCCTCAGCAAAGCTGGTGACCGGTTCTGGAGGGAGGAAAGAGAAAGGGTGAGGAAAGAGGAGATGCTCAAAGGGAATAGATGTCCCAAGCCAAAGTGGTTCATTCAGTTCTGTAGGTGGACAGAGACTGAGCCGGCTCAAAAAGCCTAGCCCTCCAGAAGTGGACAGTGATGACTGGGCTTGGGAGCAAAGGGCATACAGGGCATGCCCTCATGCCCTAGGCTCTTAGGAAGGCAGGTGTGAGGGTGTTTCTCCAAACCCAGAAACTGGGGGCCGTGTGGTACTGCTGCCAAGTGAGGACTGGGGGCTTAGTCTCTCCAGTTTCACAAAGGTCATCCTGGGGTACTGCCTGCAGGGAGAGGTTGCCTGTTGCTGCTATCAAGTTACTATGTTTTAAGGCTTCTATTTTCATCAAAGTCACTCCTATGTATGAACAGGAATTCTACAGAGCTGTAGAAGAAACCTTGTGCCCCGCTGCCCGTTTCCAAGGCCCAGTCACCAGAAGATCGGCTTGGACATAGCTCCATATTTGCATATTCCTGACGTGGTCATTTGCTGTTCACTTTCAGGGTGTTTGAATAAAAGCAGGAGCTCCAGAATTTCAAGTTGAAGCATTCTGTATCCACAACCCTGGGAGTACGAAAACGTGACCCACAAGCCAGCCACCTGCTCCTGCCGTCCTCAGCACTAATAATTTCTGAGCCAAGCCTTTCCCACCCCATCAAGGCTCTTCCTCTTGCAGTGAGGCTCCACCTTTCAGGTTATGGTAAAACAAAGCTTCTAGAAGTGCTCTGGCTGTGATGCCTGAGCTGTCATGGGGTGGTGTGGAAGATGTAGACTCCTTTCAAGATGTCGATCCCAAGAAGGTGTAAATCCCTCTCGAGCTGCCCTGGGAGCTCAGTGGAGCTGCAGATCCTGGGCTGAGATCAAGATCCGGAAAGTGGGGTGGTTCCTGGACACTGGCTCTGGCTGTGCAGGAGGGAGTGAGAACCATTCCTACACGTGACCCCTGGGGTGTGACCTCTTCTGGAAGTTTGGAAGTTCTCCACATCGTGTCAAGACAGTTCACGATATCCTGCCTGGACCAGCTTATCAGGCTACTGCATCCTCTCCGCCAGGGCCTGTCTGATGAGCCCCACTCTGATCTTTGGCCTTTCTCTGCTCATTTTTCCCAAGGCTCTCATTATTGAGATGTTTGGCTTTCTTCACAAAATTTATAATTAAAAAAAAATCTTTTTTTTCTTTCTTTTTTTTTTTTTGATGGCTTTCTTCTGTACTACTTTTTAGAAGACATGGTCAAGCTGATTTTCTAATTTTTTTTGTTGAGCTTTTTTTTTTTTTTTTTTTTTTTTTTACACCAAGGAGAAAGACAACATCGTTCCGAGATTTCCTGTGTCTGTTTTCTTCTGCTTCCCCAGGCTCCAGTTTGGGTGGTCTGTGTTAGCGTGTACAACGTTGGCCTATGACCTCGAGGCAGAAGAGCTGGAGCCCTGCAAGGCAGCCCAGACAGACAGCGCCTGCCCGCCTGCTGGTTTCCTGCCCCTGTGGAGGATGGGATGGGGGTGGGTATCTCACCAAGAACTTCTCAGCTTCAGCCTGCAGCCTGCTGTGGTTTGGATGTTGGGTGTGTGTGCTGGAATCTTGGCCTCTGGTGTGGCTCTGCTGAGGTGTAGAACTATTGACAAATGGAGCTTGGTTTCTAGGACTGAGTAGTTGTAAAGTGAGGCTACAATGTGGACGCGGCCCCTCTGCTCCTCTGCTGGGTTGTGGTGTGGACTACAGGAACCCTCAGAGAGGTCAGATGATGGAGCTCGCTCTCTCAGCCTTCAAAACTAACTTGAGTAACACTTTTCTTTCTTTGTAAGTCCCCAGCTTCATTCTGTCCTTAGCTTTGCAGGATCACCCTGTCACCCAGAAGGCCTCCTGGGGTCTTGCTTTCAGCTTGGTTGTTCAAAAGAACCTGGCTTCTGGCTCCCTAGTCTTCCTGGACTCCATGGCTGCTATCTTGACAATGTTCTTGCATTTGCAGTTTTTTTGTTTTTTCGAGACAGGGTTTCTCTGGGTAGCTTTGCGCCTTTCCTGGATCTCGCTTTGGAGACCAGGCTGGTCTCGAACTCAAGGAGATCCACCTGGCTCTGCCTCCCGAGTGATGGGATTAAAGGCGTGCACCACCACCGCCCGGCACATTTGCAGTTTTTGAAGTCAGTTCCAGGTCTCCTGCTTCTGAGTCTCCAGACTCCTAATATCTGTCACTGTCATTCCTGCCCTCTCAGAATTCTTTCTTCACTTTAGAGCAGAGAGGCAATAAATGCTGTTTCCCAATCATTTATTTATTTATTTAAAAGAAAAAAGGGAAATGGATAGGTATAGTATATTAAGATATTGTATATACTAGTAAACTAATTTAGTAAAATATCAGCCTTAGATAATTTGCACTGATGTGGATTCTTGTATATTGAAACACATGTAAACTATTTTTAAATTCCTATTTAAGATAAGTTGTGTATTGATATAAATATAAAACTATAATTATCATATTGTACACATATTCCTACTCCTATTTGAAAAATTTTGTATGTTGATACAAACATAAAATTATATTTGTCATACTGTATGTATGTTCTATCTCTATTCAGGATATTTTGTATATTGATACATATTAAGGATATTGCTGCCATATTGCATATTGCACTATACATTTCTAATCTGATTAAGATTTTTTTATATTTCACAAGTTCAAGGTCATTGTCCTATTACTGTGTATCTGTTTACAGACTGTTTGTTTCTATAATGTGAAGCCTTAGTCTTTAAGTTATTTAGGATGATAAGAATTACAAGCTAATAGTCACCCATACTTGTTATGTTTATAGTTATGTTAGTTAGGTTTTCCAGATTTACAGAAACATAGGTTGTATGGATCATCAAACACTTCATAGACCTAGAGAACATGGCATTTAAATGTATTATTAACTTAGATTTCTGTTGACATGAGACATAATTGCTCCTGGCAGCACCGATCTGATCCTAAGAGAATGTTGGGTTTCTAAGACACTCTATTTGGAAGTTTGTCTTCTTGACACAAAATGGCCTGCTGGACAAAGAGCTGCCCTTCCCTCAACTGCTGACAATATGAATGCTGTCTTTTCCAGACAAGCAGGATACAAGGAAAAGAGACTACTGATCCTTGCCAAGACAGGGTAAGATGATCTTTCAAAATTCCTGCTTCTGAAAATGGTCTGTCAGATATTCCAGGCCTGTAGCCAAACTGGATGCCCAACGGTGCTGAGAAACTTCAGGTGACTGTCTAGGCTGCCCGCTGTCTCTGTCTATTCTCACAAGGTTTTCAGAAATTGCTTGCTTGCATTTTCTATTTTCTCAGGTAATATTGTTTTCCTCCTCAGGTCTTTGATGGAATTGAAGACTAAATAGTTACAGTTACAACCTTCTCCTATCTTAGCCAGGACATATTAAGTATTAGGTTCAGATTCTTCAGGATAG